GGCGACGAGATCCTTGGGGTGAACGACATTCTTGAAACCGTAGTTCTCGGCAACCTCGCGGATCTTGAAGCCTTCACCACCAAGAACCAGAACGGTCTCATAGTACTCAGCCAAAGCCTGCATGGGAGTGTGGGACTGGATGAACTGGTCGGTGGAGATGGGCTGCTCGAGGATCTCAGAGAGCTGAGCACAGCGAGCCTCCTCGGTCTTACCACCACCGTTGGTCAGGAGAATGTGGGGGATGCGGATGCCCAGCTCGTTGTCGCCGTTGAGCATCTTGAGGGCGATTTTGGCCTCCTCAATGGCGTGGTTACCGTGTGCCAGCACACCATCAATGTCGAAAGCGAAGGCCATGTTCTTGGCCTTGGCGGTCTTCTCCTTGTTAATATCCTGGACCTGGGAGGCCAAGATATCCCGGGAGACTGAAGGACGACCGCGCGCGGCAGATGAGAGGCGGGACAGGCGTGGGGAGCGAGGGATAGGGAGCGAAGTGCCGAAGGAGTTGCGCGAACCCCGGCGGTCCTTCATGGAGGGAGACAAGCTCAAGTTGTGCATAAATTGAGCGGCATCACTGATGGCGCTGCGGGTGGCGGGGATCTCAACAGTGTTGCCGCTTGCCGATGGGATGGCGAGGCCGGAGCCACGACGCTGGTCCCGGGGAGAGAGAGCACCCTGGGGATCCTGGGCGCGGGGATCCTGGGAAGCCGGATCGACTGCGAGGTCAGAATCGTCGTAGCGAGTCATGATGAAGGTATTGAATGGAGGGAGGAAGTAGAAGGATGGATGAGCTTCTACTTGGGAGTCACTGGATTCAGGACTCAGGGAAGAATAGAAGTTGTAAAAAGGAAGGAGAACAAAAATTGACTGATAAGGAAGTAAGATGGCAAAAGAGGGAGTTCAGCAGAGTATATATACAAGCCATATCTGATACCGAACTCAATGGAGACAAACGAAATTGGTATTTTGCCATTGAGGTTACGAGGGATCCACTCACCGGGTATCATCATTCCTAGGAATTATCGTCATCATTTGGCAAGATATAAGGGGTGGACCATTTCTCGCAATGAGACAGGCTTGTACAGGGTACCTGCGTCATTGTGGCTGAGACCGTGTCTTCCCATGTACCTAATACACGGCACGTTCTCCTTCCCGCGGCCGAATTGAATCAGAAAGGCGTTGATTGGACAGGACCAGACTTGCTGGGCCGAGTATGAAGCAACGCAGCACGCCGAGTGGGTAGAAAGAGGCCTGAGTCGGACGGACGATTGGACTGGAGCGCAGTTCGCCCGTGGACCGACATGAGATCGATGGAGCCGATGACGATCAAGCCAAACGCTCAAGACACCGTTTCGGTTGGTGATGTCATAGCCAGGAGGTTTGAAAATTACCAGTGGTAATTTTGCGCTTTTTTATATTCTTATTTTTTCTTACATATTTATTTTATTAATGTTCTAAATATTTTATAAATTTGATTTTAGTTCTCATTTTGTCAGGGCACGGTGATCTCCAAAGAAAGAACAAGAGACAGGGTTTCGGATCGACATATAGAAAAGGAAAGTAAGGCTAAGTTGCAATATACGTACATTTAGTATGCAGTTCAACATAAATGCATCCAGCAATGCAAAGTTCAATTGAAAATAAATCAGCGGAAATTATAGAATTCCCATTCCCAAGGTTCTCCTGCCCCTCCAACCCCTCAACCCCTCCACCCCACTTTCCCACCATCGTCATCGCTCCCTAAGCTTCCCCCACTCTCTACCTTCTTATCTTCCAACAGCTCGTATCTTCCCTTTTTTCTATTCTTTAACTATATTCAAACTACATTGCAATCATGTCATCTGGAAAGACTTTCAAATTGAGCAACGGGGTGACCATTCCTGCGGTTGGCTTTGGTACCTTCGCCAGCGAGGGCTCCAAGGGTGAGACTTACGCCGCCGTCACTGCTGCCCTCAAAATTGGCTACCGTCACCTTGACTGCGCCTGGTTCTACCTCAATGAGGATGAGGTCGGTGATGGCATCCGTGATTTCCTCAAGGAGAACCCCTCTGTCAAGCGTTCGGACATCTTCGTGACCACCAAGGTCTGGAACCACTTGCACCGTTACGACGACGTCCTCTGGTCCATCAACAACTCTCTCGAGCGTATGAAGCTCGACTACGTTGACCTCTTCCTTGTCCACTGGCCCATTGCTTCTGAGAAGGATGGCCAGGAGAAGCCCAAGATTGGCCCCGATGGAAAGGTAAGAAAAGAAGCTAGCTTTCCCTGCAAGCACGCGAGCAGCTCCAATTAACCCTTTATAGTACGTGATCCTCAAGGAGTTGACTGAGAACCACGAGGAGACATGGCGCGCCATGGAGAAGCTGTACGCCGACGGCAAGGCTAAGGCCATTGGCGTGTCCAACTGGACTATCCCCCAGCTTGAGGCCATGTCCAAGTTCGCCAAGGTCCAGCCCATGGTCAACCAGATTGAGGTCCACCCCTTCCTGGCCAACGAAGAGCTGGTGCAATACTGCTTCTCCCACAACATCCTGCCCCAGGCCTACTCGCCTTTGGGATCCCAGAACCAGGTCCCCACGACGGGCGAGCGGGTCAGCGAGAACAAGACCCTGAACGAGATTGCCGAGAAGGGTGGCAACACTCTCGCCCAGGTTCTGATTGCCTGGGGTCTGCGTCGTGGTTACAGTGTCCTCCCCAAGAGCTCTAACCCCAAGCGCATTGAGTCCAACTTCAAGAGCATCGAGCTCAACGATGCCGACTTCGAGGCCGTCAATGAGGTGGCCAAGACCCACCACTGCCGCTTCGTGAACATGCGGGATACCTTCGGCTACGATGTCTGGCCTGAAGAGACTGCTTCGGGTCTGTCCATTTAGATTCTGTGACCGATTTACAAAAGACGAGAATAATACCCCCCAAACGGGGATTTCGGGTGGAAATGAGTTAATGAACGGACTACGAACTCTGTTAGATGAATTGAACATACCATTGATCTCTCTCTATTTACTCTGTTTCAGCTGTACCGTAGATTCTACAATATATAACTCGGGATCTTTTGAGCCGCCTCTTTCATTTGACCTAGCACTAATCAACCAATCTCACACACCGGCTGCCACAGCCTTCATTTCGTAGGCCCAAATACCCGCCAAGATCCACCCATCAATATTGTCTACATCCAATGAACGAGGCGAGTCAAACCCAACGGACCTAGAATAAGATTACACCCAATATTGAGAAGATGATTGTAAAGAAAATATTTGAAACGGAACCTCGCAAAATTTGCAAAAGGACCCTGCAATTGTAACAGTGTAGTGTACAACTATGTAGGTACCTAATTTCCGGAAGCATCGTATCCTCCTCGACCAATAAGCCAAGCAAAATCACCCTCAATGAGTAAAAATAAAAAAATAAATAAATAAATAAACCGTAGGGTTACACTGTACCTGACAAGGCAACCGCTTCCCAGGTCAATCGGAAACAGTGTCACAGAAGCCTAAAAAGAAGTCTCCATACAACCGTTGTATAACTTGTATAACACGGAGTCCTCAAATACAACTCTAAAAATGGATAGGCATTTGCAACGAAACAGGAGCATTGTGCTCCGATGCAGACGATGTCATCTCGCATTGACTTGTGGCTCTCGGAAGCCCCTGCGCCACTCAAGGGGCTTAGCGTTCTCGCGCGCTTACCGCATTGGGTATTAGCGTTGCTGACTACAGTCCAACCCGGGAAATGTCGGATGCACATTGGGTTATGTTGTATGGGATATTACAACATAGAAGATGGTATACTGGTTGGTGCTAACACCGAGACGCCGAATAGGGTAATGGTGTTTGATTGTGTGGGCAGAGTACATTTTCATTGAATGTTGCTTAGCGCTTCGGGTTTTTACTTGCCATTGGTCTACCCGCCGAGTAGTGTCTATGTATTGTACTAGTATAGTGCATTTCTCTTTTCATTGGGCCGATCAGTGACCGGGTTCATTTACTATTTTGAACGGGATTTAATGCCTCATTTCCTTTTATAATGAAACACGCTTTGACTTTTTACCTGAGACTTTTGGGTCGGGTTCTACGATGCCGAGTGCTGAGATCGGGTATCCCGATTGAGCCGATAGGGAAGAATTTCGGGGGATTGTGATACGTAGTCGAAGTTTGTTAGCCTGTTTTTGAGCATACAATAGCGAGGGTGGTGGGTAGCAAGCATATGGGTACTGCAGTATTGAGATGGTGCAGTCTGGTTTAGGATTCATATTGGACGTGCTCGTAGTACAACGTGCGCCTTCGCTGCGAGGTGGGACCCCATGTGAGATACAACCGCATCCACAAGATACATTGTATCAAAGACGTTGCAACTCGCAGCGCAGTTAACTTACGGACTTGCTCTTATCCTTTGCAAGTATCAAAACAAGAGATCAGCATGTATCGGCTATCAGTACGGAGTACGTGTAACAACCCTGGAAGGCACAACATGTACATATGTACTTTGTATGATCGGAAGTAACTCAATTCAAAAAGGACCTATACAAGCCACTCGCACGAGGGATCAACGGAACAGACGCACAGTCCGCTGCAATATCCTAAAGCCTAGGGCTTGTCAAAGCGGTTAGGTGCATAAGCTAGGACTGCGCCAATGCAACACGAAGGTACGCCAAAAAATGCGAACAGGACAACCTTCCCAGATTGGAAATTCGAATGCCCCTCACACAAATCCCGAAGTTTGGAGGGGCAGCGTGGCGCTACGGCACAGACGTCATTCTGCATAGGGCAGGTGAACCGTGCAGTTAATCTTATCTTGATCAAGATGAAATGAAAAAGTTTCAAGTTCAATAAGAATGCATACATGAAATAATGGGGGAAACGAGCAATTGGTATCTTAAAACACGAGCAACTCCCCCGGTAAATAAAGAGCGTCAAAATGGGAACGGGGTATAGAAGAACCGTAGACCGGCCAGAAGGGTATAATAGTCATATAATCCAACGAGAATCGACCATATTCAGTCACAATCAAGCTCTCGACCGAACGCGCCGAGCCGTGGGTGTGCACCCTGCGCTCATCTGAAGCATACTCTGTCGCTGCCCATCATCTGTGCTCTGTGAGCTACGAGTGGGGATACCACTGACGAAAGGCTGATCAGTGGTGTTATTAGCCCTCTTAGAGGCTCGTGCGGGAAGCTTGGACGAAATGGGGGATCTGGGAGCAAGCTTGCGGCGGCCCTTGGTAGGTGTGGAGGGGGCCACAGCAGCCACGGCGTCCGCCGTGGCTGCGGGAGGCTGGCTTGTGTTGCGACTTCCAGTCTTGACTGCAGTTCCGGATCCCAAGATCCCCGAGTCACCCAAACGCCTCACCCGGCGTGAGCGCGGGGTTACAGTAGCAGGTGCGGTAGTCGGGACGGTTGGGCCGCTCTCGGTAGCTCCACTGTCTGCATTCTCGTCTGCCTTTTGCGTTTGGCTACGGCTGCTGCGATGGCTGGACTCTCCTTTCTTCGCCGAACGCTTGCTTTCTGGTCGCGGGCGAGGCGTTGCGCCCACGTCATTCGTGCATCGGTCACCCTCCTCTTCATCTTCCCGGTCGTCCATTGGTTCTCTGTACTCTTCATACTCGGCCATGCGCTCCTCATTCCATGACACTTGCTTTCGCGGTTTGGCCAGCCCACGGGAGTTAGTGTCCTTGTGGTTTGAGCGCTCATTCTGTGAATTGCCCGGCTGAGGCTCTTCCTCACTGGACTGCTGAGCCAGAGCTTCAAGAGCGACCATGGGAGTTACGGATTTACCCTTGTTGAGCCGGGTATTGCGCTTTGTAGCCATAGCCACCTGCTGGGACTCAGTTCGTTGTTGAAAAACGAATTCTGTTCCTTTCGCTCGGCGGAAGGAGATAGTGCTGCGCATGCTAGGGGTGCTCGAGCCTTTGGTACGGGTGCTTCGACGATATGCAGGGCTTGAAGGAGCTTGTTCTTCGTTGATCTCTTTGAGGATTACATCCTCCCGATCATCGGCACCATCGGCGCCACGCTTGGCCTCATATTTACTAGGCGAAAATTGCAACTTGACTGGTGAAGGTGAATTGGTTGTCAGTTCCTCTAACACGCGGCGTGGTGGTGTTGAGCATCCAACTTCTGGCGACTCATCCGGGCTGGAAGACATCTCCGTTAATTTCGCATTTTCCGGATGCGCGGCCTTGGCGGCCCGCTTCGCATTCGCCCTAGACAGGAAGTCGTTGAGCAGCGCTGCGTCCTCTCCATCCAAGGAGCTTCGCAGTGCCGATCGTACCAACTTGATCTCCTGCTCTTGCGTAAGGTCTTGCACGGACTCCGTGGTGGACACGGCGTCGGTCTTGTCCTCTCCTGCATTGTCCATCACAGTCGGCGTGTCTTGGCTAGACGGTCTAGACTGTAGATCATGCGCTGTCTTCGCGTCGAATGCTGTATGATCCAGGTCGATGGCCATGGCGTCGCTATAGACCGGCGTCTTGGAGGTCTTCCACAGATCGCTGAGCGGCTGGGGTGACCCATTCGTAGCTACGTCGCCGACAACATCTTTGAGCGTCCCCTCAGCCTGGTTCGCAGTGAAACCAAACACCTCATGGGAACCCTCGTCGTGGATACTGAAATTGAATTCGGGCATCTTGCCTGCAAATTATCAGATGAAATGTCTTTCTAAATGCAAGACCACGGGATGCGATGCACGATGTGCACGCGGCTCGCATAATATAGAAAGAAACTTACGTCGTTTCCGAGACGCCTGCATCTCCCATTTAGTCTCAAGGAAAGACCGACCACGTCGCTCAGCCTCAGTTTCGTGGTCCGCATCGGCGGGGTCAACACACAAGCGCTTCACGCCGCGCTGATAATCCGAGGTTGTAGAGGCGCCAATGCCCGTGGTCTGGACTTCTGTCGCAGTATTCATGCCGGCAAACGGAAAGCGAATGCGCTTCCACAGCTTTCGTGTCTTGTCTCCGGCCCGGACAGGCGTCGAAGGTTTGCGATCCCACAGTCGCGGCAAAGCGCTTAGGGCTTTGATAGGCGTGAAACTGAAGGAACTTTCAGTGGGAGGGTTGGTAGAGCTGTTGGCGCGTGAGGCAGTTTATGTTAGCGATAAGTCTATATGGCGGTGTCCCAAAACAAAGGGGAAAGGAGACCAAACCCCTGAGCGAGAGGCGCGAATGATCTTTTTAACACGAAGAAAGAAAACAAGTATCCAATCCAAAAGCAGAAGAAAGAAAGAAAGAGTTGACGTACCATGCTTGCGGCGAAGGAGGATGGTTCTCCATTGTTGTTGACGCGCGTGGAATGTGTCAAAGCCGGTGGAATTCGAGTTGGCGACAGAGTATGTTCGAGTAATTTAGATGGACCAAGCCAAGTTATCTAATATAAAGCCAAAAAAATGCAAATCAAAGGATGCAACTGAGCCCCTCAGTAAAATGTCGGATTGTCGTGATGGATGCGAAAGCCATGAAGCGGGCCGTTGTGGTTTTGCTTTGATATGCCTTTAACCCGCCGTTGCCCTGCCAACCACCGCATGGCAGAGCCCAACGTGGACATAGCGGCGATCATGAACATATATAATCTCGTGGGAAGTTGGTTGTGTGATGTCTACTAATTTAATTGCAGTCCTTACCAGTGCTCAGATAGTGAAGCGTTTGATATATACGTAATGTTGACTATATATCTTACCAACGAAGACTAGCAAACTGCTCGGGGTCCTCCATCAATTAGTACATGTAATAAACAAGAATATTTAGCTATGTATAACCTTTGATGTGAGTTTAATATACGATCATTATCACGCAAAGTGAGACCAAAGGGACACTACTACCTAGGCATTTGAACATTCCAAGGTTAATAGCCCTAGAAAGCCCTGGAAAGAAAGCACAAGTTGAAATCACATAGTGGCTCTGAGGGTTTACTACACCTTAAGATCTATTTCTCTAAAGCTCGGACATAGAATGTCTTTCAGGCAAAGCGATACACAACGGCAGCGGGCAAGAATAGTCCCAGACAGCATGGAACTCGCCCGGAGTAGCTTTCGTCTATGTTGTATGACAGTGAATAGAAGCAATTCCGCCTACAAATGTCTCTCACGGGTGAGCGAAGACTGCCAACACATCGTAGACCAAATATACCCAAAGAACCGCAAGTTGAAGGATCAAGTCGTATCTCATTATTCATATTGTATGCTGCCCATGTGCAAACGGTCTTCAAACATATAGAGACTCATAGCAGCTTGTCCTCCAAGTCACGTTCATCAAAAGGGTCCCCGAATTCATCTGAAGTCAAGCTAGTGAGCACACTGTACAGACATCCATGGATGGAACATAACCCAAGCCAAACCAAGTAGATACTGGAAGCCACGTACCTAGCTTGAAATCTTTATCAACGACATACTCCATAGCACGCTGGTATTCCTCTTGAGCACGCTTGCTCTTCCACGCCGCGATGTTCGAGTCGGACGTCTTCTCCGCAGACTGTCCTCCGCGCTGTTCCAGCGCAGACCCAATGTCACCGAGAAAGGCCCCAGCTTCTTGCTTTGTCTGGGAGCCAGGGGGGGAAAGCTCCGATACATCAGCGCCAGCTGAAGAAGCTTGGGCGGTGCCGGTCGGAGTGCGGGCGCCAGTTCTAGTACCGTCGTCAGGGAGGATGGACTCGATGGAAGAGGTCATTGTAGAGTCGCCGTCTGGATCTCTGGGGTCTAGTATGTCTTTGTTAATGGATGTAACCCCGAGGTTGTAGATTGTAGCAAGGAAGAAGAGGCGGGTGCACATGTGGGTATGGCGCTATCGATATCGCGGGCCCACTGTGCTCTCTCGATATCGTATAGATTCGAGGTAATAGGGGAGTCCTACCAATCGCCATTGTTGGGAACTAACGAAAATGAGTTAGATGGTCGATTTGTAGTTTCAAAAGTTCTCAAACTTCAAGGCGCGGGGAGTGGAGAGATCAACGGTCGACAGGCGGTGGCCCCGGGGGCTCTCTCTCTCTCTCATGAATTTTCTTCTTCTTTCTTCCCCAGCCTATATACTGCATAAACGTACGAATTATTGCTGGCCTTTGTGATTAGCATATGTTCATTAGATTTGTTTTCGATATCCCTCTCTATTCTTAATCCTGCCACCGTCATTCTGTGCGCAATGAATGCAAACTCCGGTGCAGTTCCCGACGCCTGGGAGGACTCATGGGAAAGCCAAGCAGATGTAAGTGATAACAAGGGGACTATTTGACATTTGGGACAGACAATAGTCTGATATTCAGGTCTACTCAATGCTTGCAAGTTATGAATGACATGCTGATGGTCATGATTTACAGAAACTCGACTCCAAGTCTACCCCGCCGTCCGAGAAGAAAGTCTCATCCAAGGTGACCAAGGCGCAACGCAGGGCAGAACAGGCAGAGTTCAATCGCCAGCTATGGGCTGAAGCGTAAGTCTTAATCGTCAACTAGCGCCTACCGCATGTCCCCAGGTTGTTCAAGAGACTGAACTGGGCTGCAGCGAATCCACAGAAACGTTCCACTTCGTTGAAGCGCGCGCCGATGTCCCCCTTAAGCAAGACTTCAAGCCCGCAGTTACACTGCTGAGTCGGAAACCTCAGCTTGCGACAAGAAATTCATCATCCTCGAGAACAATTGGTGCTACAACAGCTGGACTTGGCCGACTCGGACTGGACGATGACGACGACTCGGACGAGGACACTAAGCCGCCCCAGCCAACACCCGAGGAGCGCCAGGCTATTGCGCTGAAGAATCGGGAAGAGAAGCAGCGGAAGTACGAAGAAGTGCGCGAACGTCTGTTTGGAAGCCCATCTGCTACAGCTTCGGGTACCTCGTCACCCGGCAGTACGACACCGCCTCGTCAAAATTCTACAGGCGAGGGCAGAGGGAGAGGCAAAGGACGTGGCGGTGGAAGAGATCATCAGAAGAGAGATTCCTCGTCGGCCTCGAGCAAGTCCTCCAGACATCTCTACGATCCGTCCACTTCAGCCAAGTCAAATGCACCCTTCCTACAGAGAGGTGGCCGTCCGCAGGTTGAGCGAAGTGGCTCCGACACTCAAGCTCCACAGCAGCCGGTGCGCAGTCCTCGAGGCCCTGATGCAAGTGGAAGGGGTGGCTTCAATTTCAATCGAGGTGGTCGAACAGGCTAATGTACATTTGGCCATATTTTGTTCTCAGAACTGGCCGTCAGTTACCTTTCCTTTTGTATTAAGGGAGGCCCCGTCCTGCGTTAATTGCATTTGCAACCTGGGACGTGTTTGGGCGGTTCTCTGTGACATGAAGTGTTAACAGTGCCATTGGAAAAGAGGCATGCGCTACTCACGGGCATATCGCTCATAGCTGTCGTGGTACAGCTCTTCCGTGCTAGTTGTTGCCTGCACATGCTGATCGGTCTCGATCGCATTCACCCAAGAGGCCAGCCTGGTCCCCTCCTCGGCATCTGGCCATCCTCGGTATGGTTTCAGGACCCGCCGCAGCCGAATGATCCACGGGGCAGCTTGAACGTCCACAAGGGACATCTGCGGGCCCATGAAGAAGGGCCCCTTGGGATGCGCCACTTCGAGCAGCTTCTCCATCGCGTCTCGCAGCTCCTGTGTCTTCTCGATCTGTTTCTGTTGGTCCTGCTCTTGCAGTATACGGTAGAAACTCGGCACGATATGTCGATTGACCTGGGGGCTATCAGTGATGATCACCAGAACAGACATGTCTGTCTACTTACATGGTCCGCCCACAACCGGCAATGGGCGCGCAGCTTTGGGTCTACTGGAAGCATTGCAGCTCCTACACCCAGATCCTCCAGCTGCGAGAGATTGGTCAGCGATGGAAATGGGAAATGGGCCATTCGGTTTTCTTACATATTCCAACAACACGTTGCTTTCATAGCACCCCCAGTCATCGTGCCGCAGAGCAGGAACAAGCCCTCTTGGATTCACCTGTAACAGCGACTGGGGCTTCTCGTACGGATCCACTTCGATGTATTGGTACGGGATACCTTTCAGTTCCAATGCAATCCATACCCGTTGAACGAAGGGGCTATAAACATGCAGGCCAGGTCAATACACAACAAGCTTTCGTCAGAACGAGTCGAATCTGAGGGGTCCTCACCAGAAACAGCTCCCATATAGCTTGAGATTAACATCGGTGGAGTGTTTTATCGCAGTTTGAGCGGCCAGACCCGTCGCTTTTGTATGGTATGACTTTTGGCCTGTTCGAGACATGACTTGGTCCTATTGTGTTTTCTGTGTTAAAGCTGCAGAAATCAAAATGCTAAGAAATGCAAACAAAATGAAGAATCGATGGATGAAGTATGAAGTCAAAGTAGCCTTGTGACGTAGCTGGGATTATGCGGGGTGTGCAAATGAACAGAACAAAACAGGATTAACATACCGCTCTCGTCCTTTTGTCTTTCTTTTCCTTCAGAACATATCGTTGCACACTACTCTTTTTGACACGATCGCTCTCTTCAAGCGTATGTTGATGACCTCCACTTACTCCGTCATTCTTCCCATTGGCACCATTACCGTTCACCCGCTGTATAGTGAAATATCTACCACCATTCGATCCGGGATGATTTGGTGGTAGACCAGGATTCGGCGTGAGCATACCGAATGTTTGGACATTTCGGATCGCAGGGTCGTCATTCAGAGAGAAAGTATACATGCCAGGTAGGATGTTAGATGGCAAGGGCTCGACTGCATGGGTTGTATTTGCTATTTCAGACACTGGGAAGTATTCCACGACTTTGATTTTGACATGGCAGAGATCCCGTTCTCTGGCCGTACGCTTGCGCTTCTTCTTTTCTGGGTCGTCGGATTTGGGGGTTCCAGGTGGTCGTCCTTTGAGTCGACAGTCCCAGTAATGGGAGACGAAGGGTTTACGCTTGTACCGCTGGGTTGAGCGATGAGAGTATACATTGTCAACGTGGGGGAAGTAGGTTTGAAATCTGTAGAAAAGTATGACGCAAGTCAGCCTCCCAGTAAGGTGGAAATAATCCCAACAATGGAGTCTGCATACTCCTCTTCACTCAGGGTGATCATTTCATCAACATTGAACAACCTATCTCTCCAGTAATCTAGATGTGGAGGGTTCGGGACCAATTTGAAGCCTTGCAACTCTCCGGGCCCAGTGAAGGCCACCGGATCTGCAGAGCCAGGATCTAGCTCGATAAAGTCCGGCTGAAACGGTTGACTTGAGGACTGCAGTGTTGTTAAGCTGCTATTAGCTTGATGCGCGTTGTTTCCCATCGCTAGCTCATTCTGAGACAGCGATGCGGGAGGCGCCATTTGTCCAGCAGCGGCGCCATCTAACGCCCGGCTCATATTCGCTGCATGAGCGACGCTATCGTTGTAGTCCTGCGATTGATGTATACCACTGGAGGGTTGCCCTTGCGGTTGTAAGTGCGAGGCAACTCCATTGCTAGGGTGACCTTGGTGCGATTGATGCTGTGTGGATTGAGACGCGGTGATGAAGTTGTTCGCCGGCTCGCCTGAGCGTGGAGGACGAATAAACGCATGCGTCGCATTCTGGAGCTGTGATTCAGCTTCGGTCGGGGGGCGGAATGACCCGAAGGTTTGCGATTCCGGGTCAAATTGGCCCAACTGTAGGTTGGACTGGTCGTTTATCGGTATAGAAGATCCCAAGCGGGGCGACGACAGTCGCAGCTCAGAGTTCATATTGTAAATAATATAAAGTTGTGGAGAGGCGTGCTGCTTTTGAGGAGAAGAAGGACGGTTGAAGCGGCATTGTGGGGTTAAAGGAAGCTCGGATCATCATGAGGTTCAATGTTCTCAGGTACAAGAATCATGCCTGGACTCTTATGGGCTTCTATGGGTTCTCTTTTGCGAATTGGTCATGAACAACACATTTATTCTATTTCAAAGATTGGGATATTGAGGTATCACCATCTATTCGCGTTAAATCCATAGACGCAGTATTGACTCCAGCCTCGGCAGCTTACAGACCCTTGCCATGTTTCTTCGCTGCTTCCGAATTCTTGAAAGGGAAACCCGTCGTCCTCTTGTCTGCACCGTTACGGCGATTGATTTTGCCATGGCTACTAGCAAAGAGCATGCACCACAACCCAATGGCCGCAATGCTAGAGTATCCAGCAACACCGAGAGCAAAGAGACCTTGTCCACCGGTGACATACCGGGTGTACGCGTAGAAGGCACATGCAGTATGGAAGATAGAGGTCACCATCAGGGTTGGTACAGCGTATGGCGCCTTGGGATCGTCCTCCTCTGTTGTCACAGACTCCTTGGTGTCGGCCGTCAGAGGGATGGAGCCCGTTAGCATCATGGTCAAAATGGCGATAGTGAGAAAACTGAAGCCGAGGCATCGGGCGAAGTATATCTCCATGGCTTTTGCGGGGCGAATGGTTAGCACCGCTCGTAAATGGAGGCGCGCAGCACTTTCAGGATGTGGGCCACATACGGGAAACAGGCCGAGTCTCATCTAGCAGCATGGTCACTATCATGCTCGGTCCGGTAATCAGGGGTAAACTCTGAAGTGACAGCCATGCGGCTGTCGAGAAGGTGTAGGCGCGAAACACCTGTGAAATTAGCTTTCAGCTCCGGTTTCGAGGTCAATCTCCCATGAGACAGTAGGATTGGCTCACATCCATGTTGGCAGTTCGCTGGTATGGGTCTCAATGGTATTGAGATCTTCTTGCCGGATTGAAGTAGCTCTTGTCAAAAGCGGTCAGACCTTGAGAAGATGAAGGTCCCAAAGATCATCCTTTTAAGGCTGAAGCATTATAAACAGGTGACGTCATACA